ATAATAATATTTAGAGATATAATATAATAATAATAATAATAATAATGATAATAATATAATAATAGGATGGTAATAATAACAATAAAATAGTAATAAAGATAATTATAGAAACATTTAGAATGATAAACGAAATATTATGAAATTAATTCAGATAAACGTCAATAAGTTGCTATGATAAACATAGCGATTGCCCGCGCTACAGGAAGAACTAAATCATAAATAGTACTCGAAACGACGTATAATAAAAAATTCTGTTCGGAATCTAATTCTCCGTTATATATTAACATAGTTTCGTAGTTATTTAAAGGCCAGAGACTCGAGTAGTTATACTTGAAACCATCGCGAACTATATCCGTTACAGTCTATAAGAGAAACGACGTCTGGCGATCATCGTACCTTTAATCTTGATCCACAACTATACAGGGTGTCCCAAAAAGTTATTGTACAAGGGGGAAATGAATAATAAATAAATAAACTATTTGCAATTTAAAATATAAATAGCTATTTATAATAAATATAATATAATTTAAATATAATTATATTATTATATTATATATATATATATATATATATATATATATATATATATACATAATTAAATATGTATAATTTAATTTAAATAACTTACTTAAAATTTATTATTATTATTATATAATCATATATAATAATTGAATATAATTTAATCTAAATATAACCTGCCTAAAATATAAAATAGCTGCTTCCAGCGTATCGCGAACCTAGAGAGCGTCGATCTCTCAGCCAAACAATTCTGATCACATGCCTCTTTGAGAGTCGAACGTTGCATCTGGAATCCAGAAGGATATCACACCTAGCTGTCGCGCGCATGCTCACGCACAATATCCGAACGAAAACGTCTAATTGACCCGTGAAACGATAAATATTCGTTCTGCGGGGGAGTTAGGGACATTTACGAGGATACCCGGTGTGTCCAACGTGCCCTAAACGAATGGAACAGCTTATGGTGCACCACAAATCCCGGCGACAGTTTTAAGCGTTTCCGAGTTTCCCTCGCGCCATGTGTGGCGGGGGAGCAGCCGTGGGGAACTTGTGGGGAAGATGGGAAAACGTGGGGTTCTGACCCTGAAGGGTGAACTGGTTTCAACTACCTGCGGGACCGATGGTTTATTCATGCAACGTCTCTTTAGGTTTGTATCGAAAGAAAGCCATCGAGGACATGATCACTAAAAAAGAAATGAGACTTCAGAAACGTCGGAGACGTTGGGAGCTGCTTAAATTTTGTAGAGGTTCGCCCGTTCGGTGCGATCATAAATTTATACGGAATTATATACATACAGAATTCTGTATAATATATATATTATTATATTATATATAATTATATTTCCGGGAAATGAGGAGTTCCTTAGGTGATTTGAAGTAACTTTTTCCTTTACAAAAATGTTCTCCGAGGCTTCGTTTACGAGTTATTAACGAAAAAATAACGACCAATGAGCGTCGAGCTCTCTTAGCGCGAGGCGGCCGACCCAATCAGCGGAACCTGGCTTCGTCCGCTCGTTGGCTCGGCCGCCGCCGCGCGCCAACCGAGCGTCGCTTTTCATTGGTCAGTGTTTTCCGTTAATAACTCGTTAACGATGCCTCGGAGAACATTTTTGTAAAGGAAATTGTTGCTTCGAATGACCTCAATAATCTCTAATTTCTCGGAAGTATCATAGTTTTGGGACACCCTGTATACATACAGAATAGAACATAACGATTTTCATTAATCATCTTCTACATTTCTACGGAAGGGGAAAGTTTCTTACATTAACTAGAAAGTTCCTTATGTTCGCTATGGGATAATAATACAATTAATTTTCATCGGTACACACATTTTCCGCAGTTTAATTATGATTGATTCGACGTCAGTCTCGCGAGAGTTACTTGTTGTCAATAATTTTCAAATACACGGCGAGTAATGATAATAATATTTGCATTGAAATTATGTCGAATCATCCGAATTATATATATAATCTTTGCGTCGAGTTTCATTTAGTATTATTTTAGTATAATATAGTTTAGTAAATATATATATAGTATAATATAGTTATTATTATAATAGTTATATATATTACTATAATAGCTATTATATAGTTATTATAATAGTTATATATATTACTATAATAGCTATTATATAGTTATTATAATAGTTATATATATTACTATAATAGCTATTATATAGTTATTATAATAGTTATATATATTACTATAATAGCTATTATATAGTTATTATAATAGTTATATATATTACTATAATAGCTATTATATAGTTATTATAATAGTTATATATATTACTATAATAGCTATTATATAGTTATTATAATAGTTATATATATTACTATAATAACTATTATATATTATTATAATAGTTATTATAGTTATTATAATATATAATATATATATTATAATATAGTATAATATAGTTTAGTATAATATATATATATATATATATATATGAGCTATTATACTAAAATATAATACTAAATGAAACTCGACGCAAAGATTTCACGAGATCGCGTTTACAGATTAGTGAGACGAGGCGAGGCGAGGCGAGGCGAGGCGAGGCGAGGCGAGGCGAGGCGAGGCGAGGCGAGGCGAGGCGAGGCGAGGCGAGGCGAGGCGAGGCGAGGCGAGGCGAGGCGAGGCGAGGCGAGGCGAGGCGAGGCGAGGCGAGGCGAGGCGAGGCGAGGCGAGGCGAGGCGAGGCGAGGCGAGGCGAGGCGAGGCGAGGCGAGGTGAGACGAGGCGAGGCGAGGCGAGGCGAGGCGAGGCGAGGCGAGGCGAGGCGAGGCGAGGCGAGGCGAGGCGAGGCGAGGCGAGGCGAGGCGAGGCGAGGCGAGGCGAGGCGAGGCGAGGCGAGGCGAGGCGAGGCGAGGCGAGGCGAGGCGAGGCGAGGCGAGGCGAGGCGAGGCGAGGCGAGGCGAGGCGAGGCGAGGCGAGGCGAGGCGAGGCGAGGCGAGGCGAGGCGAGGCGAGGCGAGGCGAGGCGAGGCGAGGCGAGGCGAGGCGAGGCGAGGCGAGGCGAGGCGAGGCGAGGCGAGGCGAGGCGAGGCGAGGCGAGGCGAGGCGAGGCGAGGCGAGGCGAGGCGAGGCGAGGCGAGGCGAGGCGAGGCGAGGCGAGGCGAGGCGAGGCGAGGCGAGGCGAGGCGAGGCGAGGCGAGGCGAGGCGAGGCGAGGCGAGGCGAGGCGAGGCGAGGCGAGGCGAGGCGAGGCGAGGCGAGGCGAGGCGAGGCGAGGCGAGGCGAGGCGAGGCGAGGCGAGGCGAGGCGAGGCGAGGCGAGGCGAGGCGAGGCGAGGCGAGGCGAGGCAAGGTGAGACGTCGAAACGCGCGGCAAATTATTACAAATTGGTCATTTTCATCAGAGCAGAGCGTACTTAGACCGTAGAGATTGCCTCCGGCCAGTTATTTCCTATTATTTCGCCGCCGAGCGGAGGCACGAAATAATAATAGCTGTGCGTCGAACACACCGGCTGCCGAGCTTGTTCCCGGTGATCCACCAGCCGAAGTAAATAAGAGATCGGAACGAAAGGAATAGCAAATTGAAAAAGTGGACGGAAAGGTCTCGTTTCCCGAAGAAGAAGTTGAAGTGGCCGAGAGAAAACGCACTCGTACGGCAGAGTTACAAGTGGAAGAGCAAAGAGGTTTCGAGTGTACGCGGATAATTGAATAGGTTGTTTTAACAGGAGCCCCCCCCCCCCCCCCTTTGCTCGAGAGAGACCCCTCTCGGGGCGCGGTGGCTCGAGACGACCGCGTCTACTAAAAAGATTTATTTATACAACCTGCGACCGCAGCTGCAATTAATTGCTGTTAACTTTTGCCGCGGGAACGAAAGCTTATTTAACCTGGTACAAGAACACGACACTTGTTGTGTGTTACTGCGCTATAAATTCTGTGGGGAGGGGGGGGGGGGCGGTGTGCGTTCAACTTGTTTAAGATGTAACGATGTAACCGTTTGATTTTATTTCGCGATTTCTTCCCGGCGATCGACGCCGCGTCGCGGCTGACTTAATACAGGCGAGGACGTGTGGTCAAAAGGGTGAACACACAATCGCTGATGTAATCGAAGAACGAACTGACAGGTTATAACGGAGAGAGAGAATCGATGACACGGTCGACCGAGAGAGAAGCACGCGCTCCATCCGGTAGATGTCGCTAGTGTCACTCGTGCGTGCGTGCGATCTCTGCATGCGTGTCGACTTCTTCGACATTTCTGGAACACCCTGTATATCTCAGTGCAAACGATACTCCTTTCTATACAAAATTCGAATCTAAATATGTCACGATATCGATTCGTATTCGTTTAACTTTTTAGGCACGACGCGCCACTATAGTGGCTTGCTCTAGTAGCTCACTCGCTCATCGTTCGAACCAAATAATCGTCTTCGTATGCATTGTTTCACACTTCTTTTGTCTTCGCATCGATTTACAACAGTCTACAGGGTGTCCCAAAAATGTCTCGCAATCCGGAAATGGCGGGTTCCTCGGATCATTTGAAGCAACTTCTTCCTTTACAAAAATGTTCTCCAAGGCACCGTTAACGAGTTATTAACGAAAAACAGCGACCAATAAGAATCGAGTACGGCTGACGCGAGGCGGCCCAGCCAACCAGCGCGCGAAGCCCAGTTCCGCTCATTGGCTCGATCGTCTCGCGCCAGCCGAGCTCGCCTCTCATTGGTCATTGTTTTTCGTTAATAACTCGTTAACGGTGCCTCGGAGAACATTTTTCTAAAGGAAAAAATTGCTTCCAATGGCCCGAGGAACCCGCCACTTTCGGAGTGCGAGACATTTTTGGGACACCCTGTATATACAGTAGCAGACTCTGTCGTCCAGAGAAATAGCCTCGTGCAGAATTCAGCCGTACCTAAAAGGTCAATTGCAGCGTTCATTGAGAGAAATATCAACCCCATTTAGGTTAGAATTTCGTGGCAGTTCGTTCGTAATATTTTCGTATGATCCTTCAGCTGCAAGTATGCAACGTCGCGCAGAATATTGTAACAGCGTGTAAAAGGAATCTGGTGAACCAGTGCACCGGGAAACGAAAATATTAGTACAAGAAAATATTAGTCGAAGAAAACGTGAAAACATATGGTAAACGCGATGGTATGTATCGCCGTTGTATATTCGATTATCGTTCGGTTGAAATAGGACACGTTGTTTTGTTAGGATTAGCTAGCTACCCGCTGCAGATGGAAGTTCCTTCGGCAGTGAAAATTTGAGAACGGTCAGCTACCGGCCGAGACGACGACGTTACGTTAAAGCGTTTTGATTTACTAGCTACGCTCCGCCCAGAAGGTTATGAACGCTCGAACGGTGGACCTTTTTGCCAAAAATATGACTCAGCTTGCCTAGGATCACGTGGAGACTTTTATTTATGAATTCGTTCGACAGATTATCTCAAGGGGAGTACACATAGGTGCGTTGGTCTTTTTTCTTCTGTGGACCTTAATAAAATATGAGAATATATAGAAATAATGTGTGTGTGTGTGTACAATAATATACAATAATAATTATGTAGAAATAATTGTCAGAAACTTTTTATATTATACTTTATATATATATAAATATTATATATATATATTATATTATTTATTATATTATTATATATATAACATTATTATTATAATTATTAATATTATTATATATATATTATACTTTATATATAAAAAGAGTATAAATATATACTTATATTTATACTTTTTTTTGACAGACAAACGGATCCAAGCCCAGCCGTCCAAATGTAAAACAACACCAGCATAATAATAATAATAATAATAATAATAACAATCCACGGATTTTATCAAATTCGTGTCAACGTAATTCTTGTGTGTGGTGTCGCGTTACCACGTTTACCATGAGATTTAGGGCACTGGGTTGCTCTTTGATTAGAGTGATTCGTACCGAACTATAGGTTAATCGCTCGCGTTTAAGAAATGAATTACGATACACGAGCTGCTTGTGACAATCACGAAACCGATAAGATGTTCGAGAAAACACAGATTAGGAGTTTAAATAACTCGTATACGCAGCAGCTGGCCCCGATTTAATCGTTACCGTGCACAAAACTTGTTATCAGAAACGATTACGGTGCCTTAATCGTGTTCGCCAGATAAGAAACTGTAATATTTTTGTTTTTAAACGAAAATTGTAAGAGGCTGGGTACTTAATTGTATTAATTATTCTAGCAACGAATACAACAAGGGAATTTTAATATTTATTTATTTATATAATATTATTATATATTATATATATTATTTATTATATATTATATATTATCATATTATATAATATGATTTATAATTGAAAATTTAACCGATAAATATTTTGATTTATTTAGACTAATTACAATAATACCTAATATGATAACAAAGTGTTCGACAACCGCCACGTCAATTATCCGAGGTAAAAATGTGGTCCCAATAACTCCAAACCGTGCTGCTGCGTACAAATACCAACGGTGTTGCACGATTTTCTACATTTGTGTTACAAAAAAGCGTTAACCAGAAGAGAAGAAGATTTGTTTCTAGGTCGGATCGACTCGAAGGATTCACGAGATCGAAATTTGAATTGTTGTGGAACTGGTTTTCCAGCAAGAAAAGGGCACGGTTCGCCGTAGGATCGTGTTCAAAGAGGATACTAAAGAGGTTCGTTCGGTGTACGAGCCACATAATTATTCAATCGGGACCACGAGTGGCATTGTCAACCTACGCTTTATTACATATCGTCTTTCTAATGGTCCAATGGTATGCGCTCGGTTTAATTTCGTTTGACGGCTCCACCCGTGACGTCTTATTATCGAATTTATTGTTCAAGTGGCTCCACCTACCCGCAGCAGTTTAACCACTGACATAAGGTGAAATAAATCACGTAAATCGGTCTCGACGACCGAGAGTGGCCGCGTTCGAATTTATTCGTCAGCATTTTCTTAGTTTCGTCCGCCGTAAGACGATGCGTGTGATTTTCCATTTAAATTGAAAAAGACAGTTTTGGAAAGATTCGTCCGTTCGTCAACGAAAGAGAAAAAACCAGAGCTGCTGCGCGAACATTTTCCTTGTCAATTAGGACCGGTTACAATCGCCTATTGTTGACGTGTTTCGCAAGAAAATTAGATATCGCGACAACGGCTTTAGTTCGACAGGAACTCGTGGAACGGCCGAATTGTTTAAATTGTTCAATGTTAGTTTTCACGCGATACGAACGATAATTGAATGTACAATGGCGATACCGTCGCGTTTGCATCGTGTGTCCACGTTTCCTTCGAATCTGTGCTAATATTTTCGTTTCCAGGAGCACTAACCGGCTAGAGGGGTTGCCCGGATGATTTGAAGAAACTTTTTCCTTAGCGAAAATGCGATCCGAGGCTTCGTTTACGAGTTATCAGCGAAAAACACTGATCAATGAGAGGACGCGCACGGCTGACGCCCCGCCCTCGCGGCCGCTGCAACAGGCGGCCAGCGCGACGCAGCATTGGCCGCAAGAGCGGAGCGCCAGCCGTTCTCGCCTCTTATTGGTCAGTGTTTTTCGTTAATAACTCGTAAACGAAGCCTCGGATCACATTTTCGCTGAGGAGAAAATTGCTTAAAATGATCTCAGGAACCTCTCATTTCTCACTTGTACAATAATTTTCGTACACCCTGTAGAGATCCGTAAAATTTTATTTTGCAGTATTTATCGCAGAATTCTGGTATCGAGTAAACAAATCGTTTATTAAATAAAACAAGTATTTCAATGCAAGCGAATAATTATTAACGTAACATCCAACTGATTTATAATTGTTTCGATATAATTATTATTTTATATTTTAATTATTATTATTATATTATTATATTATTTTATATTTTAATTATTATTATTATATTATTATATTATTACTATTTTAATTATTAATTAACAGATTCGAAGCATGTACGCGCATTCTATGCGAGTATCTCAAGATTTAAAAATACACGCTGATGTTACGAAACCGCCTCGGTGTTTCGATGATCTGATTAGCCGCAGATTTTTTACGCGGGCACGGGAAGGCGTTTAAAGAGATCGTTGAAATGCGTGTTCATGCTGTTTCAATGATTCCACGCCGTTCGGGGCTTAAGCTGTCCCGTTACGAGAGGCCAGAATCATTGCGCGCCAATGCGCGCTTCTAGCTATGTATAATTCGAGCAATAAAATCACGACTACTTTAGTCGGTGCCTCCATCGATGCACCGAATGAATGAGGCTTCTCAAGAAATTCCAAGAAAACGTTTCGCCAACGCCGTGTATCTCTTCAACTAGAGCCTTGTACTATGTCCTGACGTAATTGCATGTGAATTTTTAACGAAGACCTTCATTCTTATTACAGACACCGCCGTACGTCGTAAGTGTTTGCAAAAAAAAGTGGTTCGCCCATTAATCAACCGCGTGCACATCGACGCACGTGTTTTCGTTTCAAGGAAACGAATCTGTACGAGAGAATGAAACGCTGCAGTTTACCTGTGACATTGCGTAGACACTTTGTTGTTAGAAAAAAAATGTTAATATGATTAATATGTAATATGTAATAATGTAATGTGTAATAATATAATATTTAATAATGTAATATGTAGTAATGTAACATGTAATACGTAACGATGTAGTAATATGTAATAATGTAACAATGTAATAATATTGAATACGTAATATATAATAATATATTTGCTCGTTTCTTCAGTGTTAATTCCGTATGTATTTATTTCTCATATTTGGTTAAAATCGTGAAGATAACAATAACACGATACTCGTAAATAATAAAACGAATTAAACTAGTAAAAAATGCAAGAAATCTATTTCGGCCGGTCCGTTCAAACGGAAGAACTTCTCTAAGTCCGGAAGTAATATAAACATTTGCGTTTCATAAAACAGCGATAGCAATTGCTTACACCGAAGACATTAAATGCAAACAACTTTGTTAAACGACCACCGATCAAAATTAACGATTTCGAATCGACGCAGAGCTAATTACCACGGTACGCTAGATTCGTAAACGATGAATCAGCCGTGTAAACGCTCTCTCTCTCTCTCTCTCTCTCTCTCTCTCTCTCTCTCTCTCTCTAACGAAATAATTAAACCTCTAAATCAAGAACGCAGCTTTCACGAAAGCGACCGTGATTTATTAAATATTGTTCGATATTAATCATGCTCGACCGCGAGCCGAGACGCGCCGTAACGGAACACTTTCCCGAGACCATTTACGCTTCGCCGACGTATCGAACGATCGCTTCGGTTTCCAAAAAAAAAATCTTTAATTACCCCGCGACGCCCACGCTTCCCACGCGACGCACGGGATTTTTCATCCGCGGAACGAAAATAAAGAAGTGTAAGATCTGAACTGAAATAAGCAAATGAGTAAATAAATAAATAAGTAAAGAAGTAAATGAGTAAATAAGTAAACGAGTAAAGAAGTAAATGAGTAAATGAGTAAAGAAATAAGTAAAGGAGTGAGAATGAGTAAATGAGTAAAGAAGTAAATGAATAAATGAGTAAATGAGCAAATAAGTAAATGGGTAAATGAGTAAATCAGGAAATGAGTAAATAAATAAATAAGTAAATGAGTAAATGAGTAAATAAGTAAATGAATAAATGAGTAAATGAGCAAATGAATAAATGAGTAATTGAGCAAATAAGTAAATGAGTAAATAAGTAAACGAGTAAAGAAGTAAACGACTAAATAAGTAAATGAATAAATGAGTAAACGAGCGAACGAGTAAATAAACAAATAAATAAGTAAACGAGTAAAGAAGTAAATGAGTAAACGAATAAGCAAATGAACAAAATAAATTCCAAAGTACTCATAAGATTAAAAGAAAAAAAAAACGGTCGCCTTTACCTGCAACGAGGGACAGCTTCGGTGCCTGTACTTCCTCGTGGCGAGTTCCCACCAGGGTATGACGTTCCCAGCGCACCTCGGTTTAACCGGATCGCTGACCGCGTGCTCGTAGAGCGGCTCTAGTACGGGCACGTTGCCGGACAGCCTCCTAACCGGATCATTAGCGGCCTGATCTTTGGCAAGATTTCCTCTCCTTGGCAGAGTAGCGAAATCATTGTATCGGGAATGATCGTCGCCGCCGGCTTTGTCCTCCGGCTCCGATTCGAGGGAATTGTGCCTGGTCCGTCCGTAGCAGGCGGATCCAACGAAGTGCTCCTGCCTATGAAATCCTCCTCCAACTCCACTCCGGCCGGCTCTGTCCATCCGAGCGTGCACGATCACGTCGGTAGCGTCCATCAGGTAAAGGGGTAGGACCTGGTTGTTCCTCGAGTTGCCGCGACCTTGCCAGTGCTCCTCGTTTCCAACGCTGACGTCGATGTCGCTGGCGCAGGATCGGTTCATCGAGGAGGAAGAACGAGTCCGGGCCGGCCGGTCGCCGTCGAGGACGTCTTCGCTGGACTTGTGAAGAGGTCTCGAGGCGACCTTCGGCCTTCTCGAGGGCAAAGTGTCGTACCTTCTCCTCGGATAATAATTCTCCAACTGCTGCGAAACCCCCCGTTGCTCTATATCGCGCTCCGAGCTCATCGAAACCGATCCCTTCTCCTTCCGCGGATGCGACTTGCTCGTCGGGTCCACTCGCGCACGGTTCTTCCGAATCGTGCTGGTGACCGGCAGTCGGTCCACCGAGCGACGCTCGTCGTCGGTCGAGGACGTCTCGTCCTTGGACTCCAGATCCTGCTTTAGGCCGATCGAGTGCTTCGACAGGCCCGAACTGCCCAGAAGAAGGCTGGTCTTCGAGTCGCCGGTCCGCCGCGC